ATTTTCAAATTTCATCTACATATTTGAGTTATATGTCAATGCGGGCCAAAATTCCCAGTGATCAAAGAATTTCTTCCAAAATACTGAACAGATTAGAATGAAATTTTGAATATACATTCCAAATGCATACAGTAAACTACCAAATGTTGATTTTTAGCTCATGAAAATTTTTATGATTACCATATGCCTCTGTTTTCGAGTTTTATATCCTGTCAACAATTCTTAACATTGCAGAACATCCTTGCACAGCAATAGCATGTTGCAGGCTTGAACTTGCAACTCGGTTCAAATTTTTTTTTGCTCAACCGCCCAGCCTCCTTGCCGATTCTGATCAGAAACTGGCGCACAGAGCTGGAATCAAACCTGCACCTCTCTGCTCCAATCTTGGTACTCTGAACTTTAACCCTGGGCCACCCTGCTTAAATTCGCAGTAATCAAGAAATTTTTTCTAAACTACTGAACAGATTTGAATGAAATTTTGTATTTAATATACCTAACCTCCCAACCGTGATGTTTAGCTTGTGACAATTTTTTTTCCATCTTACTGTGAGGGAATGGCTTTTTGCTCCATGTATTTTGTGTTGCCATTCCTTCTCTCATGCATTTCTCCCTAATCCCTTGTGTCTCTTCTCATTCCAGATCATCAATTATGATAAATAGCCTATGCACAGATTGTTTTCTAGATTGTTGCATGGTTATGTGATTTCAGCATGTTTTATGGATCACCAGTTTGGTTGGTCTCAGTTGCCTAACAGTGCACAAATTAGTGACTTGCAATTGGCAATAGTAATCATGCTTTCAACTGAATTGATGTTTCATGACTCACTGCTTTGACTGTGATGCTGGAGGACCAGTGATCTCTTGTGCAGTATTTCTCAGTGGTTCCCTGATAACCCAGAATTGGAAATCTGATTGGGAGCATAAGCAACCTTTGTGATTGTTCTTGACTATGCAGAAAATTCACCTCTTTACCGAGTGCAACTGATTGCTACTTTTATCTTGCCAAGTGTTTAGTCCAAGCAAGTGCAAGTGCCCATTCTTGGTGCGGTGTCAGTTAATCACAAGTTATACAAGCTGTGAACTGGTGAACCCAGAACCTTACCCTTGCTTCAGCCGTGAGAATGGACAGGATACCAAGAAGAGAAGAGCCCTTTGCTCAAGGACTGGCCAGGGATCCTGGAGGTGTCAGGGGTTTATGAACATGCTTGTGATATAGTTATATAGAATTGTCACTGATCCCTTTGTGACGTTTTACTGATCATCAATGTTTTATAGGTTTAGGGTTCTTGCAATATCTTTATTTATTATTCATTCATTTTCATTCCTGTGTATGTCCCATTCATTCACCCCACTAACCCCTCACCATCATATATGCATATCATCTCCATGTATATCTCGTCTGTCTTCTTGGTTTTGAGTTCATTTAGCTGGAGTGGTATTGTGTTTCATTTGTCCTGTTGTTAGGTTGTTTCATCAAGTTTTCACGAGATAGAAGCCAATACTATATTGGACTTACCGGACCTTTAGAGCTCGAATGTTAGGAGTGCCCCTAACATTACCTTTGTCCATATATGAAAAAATGACTGGCATTTTGACTGGCTGGTTTAACCAACAGCCATCTGTATACATATATCAGTATATCTAAACAAAGGCAAAGTAAAAAAAATTGTCACTTGCTAAACAACTGTTAGAAGGTAGGTATTTATATACAGAGCATCACTCAAATCTTTTCATTAGTTTAGAAAAATTTCTTGATCACTGCAAATTTAAGCCTGTATTGCTGTTTAAATCAAAAATGAAGGTGAAATGGAAAAAAAACTCACAAACGAAGGCAAAATAAAAAAAACATTACAAGCTAAATATCACCATTTGATAGGAATGTATCATCAAAATTTCACTTAAATCTGTTCAGTAGCTTGAGAGAAATTTCTTGATCATTGTAAATTTTGGCCGTATTGCCATATAACTCGAATGAAGGCAAAATTTAAAAATTTGCACAATGTATTAATCACCGTTAGGTCTTAATGAATACGTGTTCCAAGTTTCATTGAGTTACATTAATTAGTTTGGGAGATATTATTTGATCATTAAATTTGAAAATTGGCCGTGAGATGGGCTGCAAGTCCGGCCGTCAATTTGTCTGAGATATAAACCCAGGAGAGGTTAAAAAACCCAAATCTGAGTGAAAAAAAAAACACTGCTGGGAGTCATGTGTTGCACATGTTCCACTGTGCAGAAAGTGGGTGAAAATTGCAAGATCTTTGGCGATGTATCAGCAGCAAAATTTTTGCCTTCAGAAGATCTTGCTGGCACATTTGGATTAAAATTATTGCATTCAGATTTTTGCCAGTCTTTGGCCAACTATGTTCTCAATAGCTTTGTTGGTTGGTATGAGCACAGCGCAATCTCTTGGCAGTCCAGGCGGCAGAATTGTGTCAAGCCTCGCTCTACTTTACCACTCTCTCAATAGAAGGCGCCACGCATCTGGCTGCCAAATTGCTGCCAACTTATATGTGTTGTATGGTGTTGAGCTATAAGTGTTGCAGTACTTGGAGAATAAGGGATATATAGTATCAAAGTTGTTAGCAGAATTCTCTTATTAAAATTACCTGGCAACAGACCTTGAAAATTACCTTGCAACAGATCTGGCTTTGTGCTAAAAAGCCATATATTGGCAACGACAATGCTGCTTGCATCCTCTGCGCTCTGGCACGTGTTGTGTACCAATGGTCAAACAAACATTCAAACTTTTGACTTTGACTTTGGACTGCCGTCCCTCTACCATCCCTTTTTTCCTCACTGTCCTCTCAGACTTTGCAAATGAGTTTGCAGCTCATAAGTGGCTTTTCACTACCGATTTATGGAATTCACGGCTTAAAGAAATGGAATCACAGCTTGCAAATCCATAAAACAACAGCTCAAAAAATCCAATTGAGGTTCAGACCTTAGAGAGTAGATATTCTCCTCACATCCCCCACTCTTGTTCCTACATACACCCAAATGGATCCAAGTAGGCCTTAGGAGGACTCGGCTTTCAGGTTGCAAGTTGCAACCAGAAATTCCTGTCATTATGGGAGCTGTGAGTTATGAGATTCCTGCAAGATGAATTAACCTGGTAGGCTGGTACCCAATACCTATCTAAAATCTATAATCTATATGTAAATTAAAAATGCAAGATCTAGCCACCAATTCCCAATTGTATGGAAATATGTCATTTTTGTGACCCAAAATTCCTGAAAAAGTTAGGAAAATTCCAATTCTGTAAAATTGAAAGCCAAGCTAGGGTAAACGCGGTATATTCCGACATATTAAGGACGCATCGAGAAATGAAAAACTATAAAAAAAATAACCGTATGCGTTACTCGAGTTCTGTTTGCTTTACGTGACTCTCAAAACACCTCACTACATGCCAGCAATGATGAAACGTCACAAAATGTTGCCATATTTATTTAAAAGCCTTTAGAATGCAAACCTACCAAATCCCTATATTCCGACACTGTGTGCGACTATATTTGGCATGTGGTGAGACGTATTCCGACCGCTCTTCAAATTGTACTAATACATAATTCCGACATCCACGTGTTTGAATTCCAATCGCTGTGTGAGCTGTATTGGAATACGACATGGATTTGAATTAGAACACTATTGAATATTGAGCACTACTTAATTAGGCTTTTAATTAACAGTTATTAAGCTTTTAATTAAGAAAATTTTAATTTTTGCACACTGCTTGCGCTTGGAACGAGCTGTGTGTGTCCAATTCAAGTTGCATTGGAATTTGTTTTTATGTGTCTAAATCTGTTTCTCAACTTAATCATCTATTAATTTACTTACCACTTGAAATCAGCAAATACAAGTATACTTGAAGGATTCCTAATATATTCACAGATGTATTTAAAAGTCTCAAATCATAATATTCTTTCTACACAAACAGTTTATTACTAGGTATTTGGTAGAGCAAGGTCAACTGTCAACTTTGACACATTTTTCGATGACCTCATTGGGTGGCATGCACCGTCTCTCTTTGGATCTCAACATTTTCCCGCTAGATGGCCCAGACCTAGTGTTTTGGCAGTAGTTTGANGCAGAAGCTGCAGCTACAGCAGGTGCAGAAGCTGCAGCTACAGCAGGTGCAGAAGCTGCAGCTACAGCAGGTGCAGAAGCTGCAGCTACAGCAGGTGCAGAAGCTGCAGCTACAGCAGGTGCAGAAGCTGCAGCTACAGCAGGTGCAGAAGCTGCAGCTACAGCAGGTGCAGAAGCTGCAGCTACAGCAGGTGCAGAAGCTGCAGCTACAGCAGGTGCAGAAGCTGCAGCTACAGCAGGTGCAGAAGCTGCAGCTACAGCAGGTGCAGAAGCTGCAGCTACAGCAGGTGCAGAAGCTGCAGCTACAGCAGGTGCAGAAGCTGCAGCTACAGCAGGTGCAGAAGCTGCAGCTACAGCAGGTGCAGAAGCTGCAGCTACAGCAGGTGCAGAAGCTGCAGCTACAGCAGGTGCAGAAGCTGCAGCTACAGCAGGTGCAGAAGCTGCAGCTACAGCAGGTGCAGAAGCTGCAGCTACAGCAGGTGCAGAAGCTGCAGCTACAGCAGGTGCAGAAGCTGCAGCTACAGCAGGTGCAGAAGCTGCAGCTACAGCAGGTGCAGAAGCTGCAGCTACAGCAGGTGCAGAAGCTGCAGCTACAGCAGGTGCAGAAGCTGCAGCTACAGCAGGTGCAGAAGCTGCAGCTACAGCAGGTGCAGAAGCTGCAGCTACAGCAGGTGCAGAAGCTGCAGCTACAGCAGGTGCAGAAGCTGCAGCTACAGCAGGTGCAGAAGCTGCAGCTACAGCAGGTGCAGAAGCTGCAGCTACAGCCTGTCTCTTATACACATCTAGATGTGTATAAGAGACAGGTATAATGTTCAATGGGATAATGGTAGGTTTAATGTTCAATGAAAGTTTGAACACAGAGACTAGAGCAATAAAAAACACCATGGCTTACGCGGGAATACATTACGAATAAATACCTGAACAAATCCGATGCCTATAGCGATGCCCCCCAAAATGGTGACGTTCTCGAGGAGATCGCCTTCCAGCTTATCAAAGCAACCGTCGGTGTAGATGGTGTGTAGCTGCGGGATGGTGCAAGTAGTTATAGCATCGGTTATTGTGGACACAAAAAAATAATGATTGATAGGCCGAGTTTGGACCCATAACCTAAGCCTACATAAACCAGGTCTGAACCCGTTACCTAAGCCTACATGAACCAGGTCTGAACCCGTTACCTAAGCCTACATAAACCAGGTCTGAACCCGTTACCTAAGCCTACATAAACCAGGTCTGGACCCGCAACCTAAGCCTACATAAACCAGGTTTTGACCCGTTACCTAAGC